TTGTTTTATTGCACTTTTCAGGTTAAATTTGGATGAAGATGTTCATATCTTTCATACACTATGGCAGCCTTTTGGAAACCTTGGGCAATTTTGTGGACTCTGTACATTGACTCACGATTGTGCTATGGCTCACCAATACCTAACTTTGTTTCGTTGGTCTACTTTACCTATACATTGTGACTGTACATCTTAATCCTACTTTATTTACTACTAAAAATAAAGAATTTACACAAAAAAAACGAACACAAGGTGTTGTTCTGAGGACAGAAAGTGGTTAATATGAACACTCTCAGATGCCGGTAATGGTCCAAATAAAATATAACCAGAAACAGACACAATCTGCTTGAGCAAGCTAGAAAGCCAGAAACGAAATAACTGCACAACAGGGAGTGTGGAAAGCATTACGTCCTGACAGGTTATACCTCTAGATGAAAGGAGACCCTATTAAACTAACCAATCACAAAATGAGACAGACATTTTCAACATCTTTTCATTTCAAGACATTGTCTCGTTTGTTTTATGTAATGTACTCATTAATAACATAAGAGGACATAATAAGCAAACGGAAAACATTGACCAGTATAAATGCAAAATACATAAAGTATTTTAAGCACCAGTAATGCAGGAAAATTATAACATGCAACATTCATTTTAAACTATTGAATATAAAGCAAAATGTATGCTACCGAGCAAAATATACAAATTTTAAATATAATTTTTTTCTAGTTTTGGATAGGGTGGGGCAGGTTAAAGGAGAACTATGGGGTCAGTGTTTTTCCCCATAGTTCTCCTTAGGGTAAGGGAAGGACACAAACTAGCGTCCTCCCGTTACCCTAAGCTCAGTATACCGCCAGCTACAGCTCGCGGTATACTGAGACGCCGCAGCCGGAGCGGATCCCGACTTAGACGACGGGATCCGCCCAGCTGCGTGAGTGACAGCTGGCTCTGCCTATCTAGAGGCAGAGCCAGCTGTACCCGCCCCCTCCCCCGTGCATTCCGCCAGTCAGCGCTGGAAGATCGGAGCGGGGAGAGGGGAATCCAGCCCCTCCCCCAGTCACGGCAGAGAGCCGTGACAGGAATGAGAGGTGAGCGAACCCGGTATGTGTTCACTCACCTCCCGATCTACTGAGCCGACCTGTGACAGTCTCATTGCCACAGGTCGACTAGAACTATGAGGTGAGTGGAAATCACTCATCTCATAGTTCTTCTTTAACCCTCCTATGGATTTTATAGATCTATCTGGAGCTCCATTCGGGCGATTTAGTCTTATTTCTTGCCCTGACATTTTTCCAGGCAGGAAGTGAGGGAACATCTGCAAGGAAATACATACACAAATAAAACTGACAGAGTCTAGCCTTTCCCTACTTGCTAAGGAGAGTTTCCCTCACTTCCTGTCTGGTAAAGTGTTGCAGGACAGGAAGTGATGATGAATCTAGTTATGAAGCCTCAGAAACCACCTGACAGGGATTCTGAGCTGTCCCCACTCTACTCAAAACTGATAAAGAATAATAAGGCTTGACATACACTTTAACCTTTACAACATAGTAAATGAACAACTTTGACCTAGTGTTGGGCCAAATACTGGCCACATATGCTGCACAACAGATATACTCACCTGCTGAGATGTATGCTCTTTAGGTATTTTATTTAGATTGTGCCTTAGAAACTTGGGCATCCAAATCCTAAAAGGATCTAGCACCAACTGGAATAGTTCCTGGACACCAAAGCCCTGCTGTGAACACCCACCTACCCCATATGGAACCTGTCTACAAGTGGAAGGTCCCTAAACATCTTGATATTCTATTGGAGACTTCTCATTCCTATGCAGCATTTCTGCTCCTGTACATCTAGAAGGCCACTGAACACCACACAGAAATGTGCTTCCTCTGTATGACTCCTGAGAGCCGATTCCTCTCTCAGGAGTCATAGTATGTACAGAAAAACAATGGTACAGCTTTTTTTTTTTACCTAGTGACTTGCCTGCAATAGCTTGCACTTTAATTATCATACCTCGTGCATTGCAGATTTGTTTGAATGAAATAAAATTACATAGGAAACCTTTACTTATGAACCAGCTGGATACATGCCAAAATAAAACACAAGAAATTAACAAGATTGCAAAACAAAGCACATATGATGCCAACATAACAAGCTAAATATGTACGTGTAGGTATGTCGCAGGGCCTGCTTTAGGCTTGTAAGGTTAGCTTTATAACTTTAGATTAATAAAATGCTTACAAAAAAAAAAGTTTTAATCCATGAAACAAGTAGGCTGCCATTGCTGACCTCCTTCTCAAGATGCTGCCTGGCTGCCTTACAGATAAAAGGAATTCCAACATGACATGTACAATCCAGCATGCCTTGGGTGCCATGGTGAATGAACTCTGGACAAAGAATTCAGTTTAGTTCTGTTATTAGCAGAGAAAGTGCAATTATTCTTTCTGCTCCCACTGCTGAAATCACAGAGCCCACCCTTCCCCTTCACAGATGCATACTTGCCAAGATCCAACGCTCGGGGGCTGAGGGATGAGCCATAGACTTCTATAAGGCTATACTGCGCAGGCGCAGCCAGCAGTTAGAGCAATTCCGTGTGGGAGGCCCTGGGTGCCGCATTTTGGCAACGCACCTTTAAGAAAAAAACAGGCATCTACTCACCAGTCCACAAAAAACTCTAAGTATCCTTCACAAGGTCGCTCCAACTTAGGTGTCGCCATTTCTGCTTTGACTCCAACCAGTACATCTGTGTGACCCTGAAACAAGAAACATACAAGTAAATGTCAACTGTGTTTCCATAAAAACTATGCCCGAAAAATGCTTTCATGGTAAAGTCAACCAGGCAGTAAAGCCTCCATAATATACTACAAGCCATAACAGGTGAACCAGTCCAGAGTTCATGTCTATGTAGAATGAAGAAAAAATAAATAAGCATATACAGTACATCTCTGCAATACATGCACATTCCTCATGTGTCACCCCTTTAAAAAAACACTTCAAAAACAGAAAAATACCTGGTGAGCCTGCCACAAATCCAGTGAGATCCAAACTTCCTGTTTGAATGAACAACACTGCCACACCGAAATTTCCCCTTTCACATTCACAGGGTTTTCCCTTCTAGACTACAGAACACTCTCTTTTCTTCTCATATCCATAACAGAAGGACAGTGTGCTCTGTAGTCCACAAAGTAAAACGGCTTGAGTTTTAAATGTAGCACTGTTTGCGATGACTGTATGGCAGGGCTGGAGTATAAGAGGAAGAAACAGCACAAGAAACAATCAGTTCATATGCAGTCAAGAAGTATGCTAATACCAGGAGACAGCAGATTAACAGAAGGACGAGTGTATCATTGTGCTGCTTCTCCTTCTACTGTACAGTCAAAGGATGGGGCGGGTCCAGGATGACCACTCATAGGAAGTGGGTCACCAGAACCAGAAGAAACGAGTGTGGAGGAAATCTCTGGACTGAAGACGAATATTGCAGCAACTATTAGTTTTATCATCTTATAATGGCTTAGTCATTTTCATCTTGATTTTTTTTTCTCTTTTTCTGGAGTTCTGATTTATGCTACAAGAAATGTCTAATTGATTTATGCCTTCCCCTGTTGGTGTACGGAATGTCCCCAGAAATGTACATTTTTGCTCGTGTGATTGCCTCACTAATTTTCCTAAAAGTCTGAGATACACTGACAAGTCAAATTTTACCCACCCCTTGCAGCAGTTTAATTTTTGCCAAGGTGCTCCCTAACAGCATATTTGTAAAAAGATGCCGACACTGCAGCTTTCTTCATTAGGACACTGAGATTAGAACACTAAGTCAGAACTCCTTTTATGCATACATGTTCCAGGTCAGGAACTTAAAGTACTGAAGTCTTTGGATCAGCATTCTCATTTAGAAGAGGTCAGCAATGGTATCATGCATACCCGCTCAGTATAGGTTTCCTCTAGCAGTAAAAGATAAGATTCAACCAACATGCTTTAGTTATGAGAACACAATGTGTGTGTGATGGGGGAATTTCAATACGGATACCAAAGCACCTATCAAATCAGTCACTTTACAAATCTCCACCCTTGCACTACTGACTACATATTGTGTTTTCATCTGATATTACTACATCACTTTCTGTTTAAGGATAGGTGCACAACTGCACATTTACTTAAAAAATTAATTCTGAACCCTACCCCCGGCACATTAAAAAAGTAAATACAGGCAGTCCCCGGGTTACGGACGTCCGACTTACGAACAATCCGTACTTACGTACGGGGTCCACTGTGGCTGCAGCAGCCTGTGTCCTTTCAAATCCTCGCTGCTCTCCGCGCCTGTGTTGGCGGAGGCAGCGGGGACACAGACCGCTGCATACCGCCGATGCCCCACGTACCTCCGCTGATGCGCCGGCTTCCTCTTCAGCCGATCCTCCGGTCTCCCATACCCAGCCTGCTATTGGATATTGTAAAATGCAATAGCAGGCTGGCTATTGCACCCACTGTCAATCAGCATGGGGGGACCTGATAGAAAACTTTCTGCTTCAGGCCCCTCCTCTGCTGATTTGACAGCAGGCAGTGGGCAGATGCAATAGCCAGCCTGCTATTGGCTATTGCAAATTGAAATATCAAATAGCAGGCTGGCTATGGCTCCCAGCATTAAAATACAAAAAAAATTAAAAAGTTAAAAAAAAATTAAATTAAAAAAGACAAAAAAAAAAAAATGTAAAAAAAGTAAAGAAAAAGTGAAATAAAAAATGCAAACAAATGATAAAAATTAAAGTTTACATAATAAAATTAAAATGAGAAAAAAACTTTTTTTGCTGTGTCATTTTAAGTAAAAAAAATGTCAATTATATTATAATCTGATGAACAACAGAAACAGACAGCAAAAGAACCGTGGCCCTTCCCTATGCTATCCAAAACTAAAAAAAATGTTTGGCTGGAGTTACACTTAAAAAATGTACATGTTCCGACCTACATACAAATTCAACTTAAGTACAAACCTAAAGTCCCTATCTTGTATGTAACCCGGGGACCGCCGGTATAGTACATGTGGCTTGCAGAAAACAGCCTGTCCATGGCTCAACCAGCTCCAGCACCCAAAGATTCTGTCAGTATTGGACATGTGCTGAGCTGCAGACAGAGTCTGTCTCATATGGGATAATGACCAGTCTGTCCTGAACAATTCCATCTTTGTTCATGCCCGCAATTCTAATGAAAGCTATGAACACTGGAGCTACCAAACAGCGTGCCAGTCCCAGAAAGGCAATGGGTTAGATAGGTTGCCTTCAGCAGATCACAGGTACTATGTTCTATATTGTTTGTGTTTTTAAAGTGAACATATGAGGAGTGAAATATGTGTGCTGCTTTTAATGACTATAGACGGTGCAGACTCGTACAATTTTTACACGGGCAGATCCAGTAGTGTTGGACACAACATCTGTCTCCACTTCAATCCCTCTGTAGTCTTCACATCCTCTGCCATCTGTCCGCAAATCATCCTGTGAAAAACAAAAACAGAGTTGCTTTCTTAGTGAATGCATTCTAAAGATGGCCCTCATATAACCTATATTAGTGTTTCACAACCTTTTTTCAGTCACGGCACCCTTTAAAAAGTACGCAAATTCTTAAGGCACCCCAGTTCTAAAATGCAAAACTATTAAATGTCTAAAACAACTTGTGGCCTCTCAAAAATCCATGCCAAACCCTAATATGAGATACTGGTCTGGTATGGATTCTAAGCAGGTGGGACTAGGGCTGCAACAACTAATCGACATAATCGATTATAATCGATTATTGAAAAAGTTGTCAACTTTTTCAGTAATCGATTAATCGGCTTCCGATCAGTTGGCCCTGTTCACGGCTCCACACACGCTGCACCTCCTCCTCAAATCACGCTCACCGCTGCCAGACCCACATCCACGCTTTACACGACGCACCTATCTCAGGCAGACCCTATCTCAGAAGCAAGTTGCTGGAAGACTGCTCAGGTAAGCCTGCACTTTCCCACACATGGTGCTCTATAATGTATTGCTGGGATTTGTAGTCCTCTATAGCTGATGGTACATTGTGCTGTATATTATACATAGGAATACAAATCCCAGCAATACATCATACACTGTATGTATAATGTATTGCTGGGATTTGTTGTACTCTTCTATAGTTGGTGATATTCTGCACTGCGCTGTGTAGAGGACTACAAATCCCAGCAATAATACATTATACAGCGCCATGCGGAATTCCACCAGCTATAGAGGAGTACAACAAATCCCAGCAATAGTACATTATACAGTGGTGCAATGCCGAATACCACCAGCTATAGAGGACTACAAAACCCAGCAACAGTACATTATACAGCGCAATGCAGAATACCACCAGCTATAATGTACTATTGCTGGGATTTGTTGTATTCCTCTATAGCTGTTGGTATTCTGCATTGTGCTGTATAATGTACTATAGCTGGGATTTGTAGTCCTCTATAGCCGGTGCCATTCTGCATTCATTGCTGTATAATTTTACACTTTCCATTTCACTATATTGCACACCACACTATTTGTTTTCTTTTTTACTTCCACCACTCGAAGCTTGCTCCTGTGATGGACTACAATCGCAATACAAACTAGTAGTCCCATCACTGGAGCCATGTTTTAAAATGTATTTTATTGTTTATCCGATTAATCGAACTTAATAATCGGCTAACTAATCGATTTTGAAAATAATCGTTAGCTGCAGCTCTAGGTGGGACCCCCAAGCAAAAAGTGGGATTCACCCAGTCACATCAGAGTCCCCTTAACATTGCAGCCTCCCTTTCACATCAGAGTCCCCCTCTTTCACATCAGGAGCAAATTTAGACTTTCTGCCAAAGAAGATAAAGCAGGTCCTACACTGTCAGAATTTTGTTAGACTTCTGTGAATCGGTCCAAATACTAAACTGTGGGTGGCCATGCCAGCACCACCCAGCTTAACAAACCTTGATTGAAAAATCGAAGGCGTTGATCAGAAAATTGTTGGCTGAATATTGACTGCAGCCAGTTCTGAAAGTTGCAGGGAGCCGGCTGTCAGTATACAATAACCAGCAGTGGAAATTAATCCATGCATGCTATTTAGCATATTGGGGATAGAGGAATCAAACCATTTTCTTCTATTCAGCCCACCAGCTGAATGAGAAAAAGCTATAAGTATGGCCAGCTTTCCCATAGGAGCCAATAGATTCCCGTTGTCAAGGGACATGTGACTGTCACAGGAGACGTACAGGTTTTCTGGAAATCATATCTGCAACTGCAGCTTGGCTTTACCTTCTCCATATTGTGTGAGATGCAAAACAGTGCCCCCTCCCCCATGTGATGATAACTGGGTCTCTTAGGAAAGATTACAGTGGAGATTTTATTCACCAACTATGCATGCAAAAGTGGGACAGTACACTGCCAACATCTGGACCGTCGAGGAAGCAATCCCTGGAACACTTGCTGGTAAGATCTCTATACTGCTTGACTAGATATTCACGTCACCTCAGCAATACACTTTATAATTAACAGAGCAGTTAAAAAAAAAAAAAAGAGCATGTGATTATGTAGGGTCCAGGGTATAAGGTCCACAGTGATAACAGCAATTCAATTACTGCTGAGTAAATTCAACGTACCTGTACCAAATACCTTTATTGAGCCTGTTAGGGATTTTAATTCTACAACCATATGGATAAACACAGATAATAAGAACAAATCAGCGATATACTACCATAGCTCAGCCACGTTTATTAAATTGTATGAATCCTATTTATGGTCCTATGGAAACTAAAAAGAATAACACGTTCACCATGACTGCAGCGCCAACGCTTGGAATCTCTTGTAGGATAATGAAAGCAGACAATCAATGGGAGTCATAAAGAGGGCCCAGACGCTTAAAAAAATTCAGTTGCACACACGTGTGTCAAATGGTGTTGCTTGTGACAAATTAACATGTATAAGAATTTGTCACTGACAGGATTGTCCCAATCATCGTCATTTTACATTGTGCAACATAGGCAAAGCTTATAAAGACACGGTTGGTCGGCGGCACTCCTGGGGCAGACACAATCTGGAGCAGATTTGCACTCAACCAATCAGCTTCTCTGTCTCATTTTCAAATCTTACCTGAGCAAACTGAAGAGACTGTATAAAGCCCTTCCATGGGCACCTTGCTGTAAAGCTGGTAACAAGTTGATGAGTGCGTTTGCCATTTGTTTTGCTTGACTGATTTGGTGCAGTGATGCATGGGGGGGTCTCAGCTGCCGTTGATGCTGTAGGGCCCTGGGTCGCCGGCCTCAAAGCAACCAATGATGCTGCAGGGCACTGGGCCACCAGTGTCCCTGCAACCAATGATGCTGAAAGGCCCTGAGCTGGCAGTGTCCTAGCAACCAATGATGCTGCAGGGTCCTGTGCTGCCAGTGTGCTACCAACCAATGATGCGGCAGGGCCCTGTGCTACCAGTGTCCTACCAACCAATGATGCGGCAGGGCCCTGTGATGCCAGTGTCCTACCAACCAATGATGCGGCAGGGCCCTGTGATGCCAGTGTCTAAGCAACCAATGATGCAGAGTATGTGTGAGAGACAGAGAGGGGAGCAGAATGGCCCTGAACATAGTTTCTTTAAAAAAGAATTAGTCTTGTTTAGCTCCACTTTCCTTGTTTATGATATGGCAGTATTTGATGTTGAATTTGTTGCAAGCATAGCGCCATAATACTGAAGTGCCATAAATAAGAACTTAATGAATTTGTCCCGTGTCATTACGATCTCTGAAACTTTGCAAAAGCAGGCATTTGGTGCATCATACTACCAGAAATCATACTACCAGAAATGTCTTGCAATTACTTTATTAAATCACAGCCAATGTTTTTTACTAGGGATGCACCGATACTTTTTGAGTGCCAATGCCGATACTTGGCATTTTCATGAGAACTAACAGGGTTGCAGCTTGAGAAAAAACACAGAGTCCTCAATCATCAATGAACAGGAATCCTCTATGAGTGTTCCTGTTCATTCATAACATGAGAACATTGTTTGTTTACTATAACTACAACTATGAATGAATGGGGGTGATGTAGATCACTCCCATTCATAATTGAGGATATAGTTAACATACCATATCCTCAATTATGTACACACACTCAGCGATCACTGATCACTGAGTGTGTGTACCTTGCTTTTCTCTCTGACACGCTGTCACTGGAGGCTGATCTAGCGGTGTAGAGAGGAAAGCCCAGCCTCCTGTGACAGCGCTGTCTCCGCCCCCACACCGCTCTGCCAGACTGTGATAGGCGTCCGCTCACAGCGATCTCCACCGCAGCGCTCGGCCGTCACTTTCTTTTCTCCCTGCTGGAACAGCGCCCAGTGGGGAGTAAAAGAAAGTGACAGCCGGCCGAGCGCTGCGGTGGGATGCACCGATGTATCGGCCGAAACATGGCTCTTTCGACATTATGCCAAAAGTGCCATTTTCGGCCCCGATATATCGGTGCATCCCTAATTAAAACAGAGATGTACAAATCCCAGGAGCTCCGTGTGCACCTTACAAATGACAGCTGCCTCCTAACTTTTGCATTTTTCTCTAGTCTAGTCTTGGAGTTCGAAAAGTATCTGTACTTGTACCGAGTACTGTACTTGGCATCGGTGCATCCCTATTTTTTACTAATGCCTGTGGGCTTTACATATAACAGTAACTGTCTGTATTGCCCATTACAACTAATTGGCTTCTTCCTCTAACATCCTGCTTGCATGATAGAACATAAAATAAGATAATAAGCCATTCACTAATTATTTTGGATTTGTATTCTTGGATATTTATTCTGTATTGAGAATTCTGACTACCACGTCTGTATTGTTGTTACCCTTTAGGCCCCTTTCAGAGGGGCGCTTGTCAGTTCCAATCAGTAAGGGATCTATGTACGGATCCTCTGCTGATCGGAGCAGTTCAGAACGGAAGTCACCCCCCTTTGGTACAGGGTTCCTTCACATAATTCCAATGCTGTGCCGCCACGGCCAATAGGTTTTACTAAATGCTTACTGAATGTTAATTAAAGTCAAAAATGGGGGTGCACTCAGCAGACACCCCCCTCAGGAAGCCGCACCTGTACCCCGTGCAGAACGTACACCTTCTCCGCTTCACTCAGCACCACCGAAGCCATGCCGCAGCTCCAACAGCTTTCTCCAATGCTATGACGCTACGTCATCTAAACGCGACCACGTGCGACTGCCGCACCGCACTTCTGCCCATTCAGTCGCCTAGCCAGTGCTCTGACGTCATCAGGGCTGCCACCGCTGTGTGTTCGTTCTCCCCTCCCCTTTGTGTTGTGGTGGGTGCGGCGGAGGTGCCCTGTGCTCCATCCCTGACCCTCCACCTCCTCAGTGTGGGTGGGAAACCCCGGGGCCTGTCACCGGCCCGTTACCAAGAGGAAGAAGACGGCAGGGAATTGTCTGCAAGCGGTAAGACACTTGAGTACACAACAGAGTGCATGTCAGCCTGGTGCTGCACACCGGTCAGCTGCATCCTCTGACATCTATTCAAGAAAGACAGATACATATTGTATGTTGATGTTAGTGAAGTATAGGGATGCAGTGTCTGGTTTATATCTTACTACATGTCATACTGTAAAGAGACCCTGTCACCACATCCTGTCCTGTAAACACAGGCTGGGAATCTGTCCTATATGTACTTACACAGGACCTTCTTGGCAGGATCTCCAGGTGTTATTTTATTGAAAGCCACAGATCTGCTTTAACGCAATAGATAGTTTGAAGGAGGCCTTCGTGTTTACATCTACTTCAACCTGAACTCTGGGGAGAGCAGTAAACTACACTTGCAGTGGGCTACAAGGGTCTATGCCTAGGGTACCAGGAAAAAGGACTTTTACTTATATGATCCATGGTCCCCTAATAGCTGGTGTCCAGATCTACTGAAGTTCAAACCGAGCATCAGAATATGGAAGAAAGGGGATTTAAGTGACTTTGGTTGGTCGTGCCAGACAGGCTGGTCTGAGTATTTCACCAACTGCTGATCTACTGGGATTTTCATACACAACCATCTCTCGGGTTTACAGAGAATGGTCCGAAAAAGAGAAAATATCCAGTGAGCGGCACCTCTCTGGGCAACAATACCTTGTTGATGTCAGAGATCAGAGGGAATGGCCAGACTGGTTCAAGCGGATAGAAAGGCAACAGTAACTCAAATAACCCGTTACATCCAAGGTATGCAGAATATCATCTCTGAACACACAACACACAACACATTGAACCTTGCATCAGATGGGCTACAGCCACAGAAGACCACACCGAGTGCCACTTCTGTCGGCTAAGAACAGGAAACTGAAACTACAGTTTGCAAGGGCTCACCAGAATTGTAAAAAAGACATTTTGGAAAAATGTTGCCCTGTCTGATGAGTCTCGCTTTCTGTTGCGACATTCGGATGGTCGGGTCGGAATTTGATGTCAACAACATGAAAGCATGAATCCATCTTGCCTTGTATCAATGGTTCAGGCTGGTGGAGCTTTGCATCCAGTATGGACCAAACTCTCTAAGGAATGTTTCCATCACCTTGTTGAATCAATGCCAGGAAGAATTAAAGCAGTTCTAAAGGCAAAAGGGGTCCATCCCAGTACTAGCAACGTGTACCTAATAAAGTGGCCAGTGAGTGTACATCCTAAAGTAGTGCCATGGATAAGCTGTCTTCATTATTACAAAACTTTACAACTTAATGTGACTAGGCCTGCAACTAAGAATTATTTTCATCATCGATTAGTTGGCCGATTTTAATTTTTCCGATTAATCGGAAAAAAATAAATATCATCCTTAATTTTAAAAACAAAATGCACAAATGGAGTGTTACAAACATAAAGTATACTTCAGAATAAAACTGCTTGCACAATTTTTTGCAGTCGCACCACACTGGAAGGCACAGCATGTGCGGTACTGCACATTCCAGTCTCTGTGTCCCCTCCAATCCCTGCTGCCTCTGCCAATACAGGTGGGGAGAGCAGCAGGGATTGGTCACCGGCCACAGCATGTAGTGGGCTCCCAACGGGAAGGAGAGAGCTGCAAAACTGATGCGGCGTAGGGTGGGTTTGAGGGAGCTGCTAGGTTTAGGATTTTGGAATCCTCCGACTTCCAGACTACCAGCAGCGCTTCCCCCTACCCCCAGTCCCGTCATAAACAGAGTGAGGGGAATTTACAAAGACTAGAGCAGACAGAATCTGGAGCAGCTGTGCATGGCAAGCAATCAGCTTCTAGGTTTCATTTTCAAAGCTTAACTGGACAAGCTCACGATAGAACCTGATTGGTTACTATGCATAGCTGCTTCAGATTCTGCCACCTCCTAGTTTTATTAAATTCCTAACAGTGTTTCTACTGCAAGTACAAACATCTCTCAAGATCAGCACTGCAAACTGCTGCATACTAAACAATGACAGTGGGCTTTCTATGCAGGCATGTTCAGTGCCAATCTTGAAAGATTTTTGTAGATTCTTGCAGCAGAATCCCTGTGTTTATGTAGGGGCTGCAGGGAGGGGGGATAGTTGTTGTGGGTGGCACAGAAGTCTGAGGATTTGACAATCCTTAGGACTCTCAAACTGCAGCGGCAGAAAGAACTAGTGTACATGTGTTACAGATTCCCAGTCTGTGTTTAGTTGTATGGATAGATTGTGATGACAGGGTCTCTTTAAAGTAGATGTAAATCCTAAGGCCTCCTTCACACTGTGCACTGCATCAATGTAGATCTGCAGCTTTCATTAAAATAATATTCAGTGATTAAAGATGAGCCTGGGCTTGGTGCAAAGTTTGCCTGAGTTTGCCCAATTCTACTCAAAACGGTGATTGCCACTACCAGCCCAAACACTGGTGGCAGTTGAGGCAGGGGCATTCACCCCCCCTTGTGACGTATAACTGTGGGGCTGTGAAAGTGCCTCCCTGCAACTGATTGGCCCCGGGGGTGGGGATGGTGGTGATGGTAGTCAAAGTTTTAAGTGGGCTTGGGCAAAATCAGGCGAAATAGGTTGGCACCAAGCTCAGCCTCATCACCTTGGTTAGACATTTCCTGTCTCCCAATTGTGCTCCTGCAAATGGACACCTCTAGTGGTATTTTTTAACATACATTACACAGGCATGGCCCACTGTTGTCACCATCAGAAAGCACACCCCGAGAAATGCCATACAGACATCAGTGGGCATGCATGTTGTCAAATGACGCCATTCAGCCATCTCTGGAGTGCATGTGGACAGGAAATAACTGTAAAGGAGATGCAGGAGACCAACAACTCTGATATGCAACAGAGTATGAATATAGGTAAACCGAAGTATTTTATTTTTAAAAAAAAGGCAATTGTTTTTGATACATAATTCTTTAGGAGACATAGATACATTTTAGTAGGGATGCACCGATACCGCTGCCAATACCGAGTATTTGGGCGAGTACTCGTCCAAATGCTTCGATACCTTCCCTGATACCTTTCCTGCTACCGGAGCTTCCGGTCAGAGGAAGATTTCTTCTGACCGGCTGTACCATAGGGGAACATGAAGTTGGCTTCCCGGGTGGCGAGTAATGACCCTGCTTCCTGATTGAAGCTGGCTTGCCGGGCCAATCAGCATTAAGCCGGCCGAACAGCCGGCTCCTTGCTGATCGGCTGAGAAGCCGGATTCCCGGCCAATCAGCAAGGAGTCAGCTGTTCGGCCGGCTCGATGCTGATTGGCTGGAAAGCCGGCTTCCCAGCCGAACAGCCGGCTACTTGCTGATTTGACTGGAAAGCCTGCTTCATGGGCCAATCAGCATGAAGCTGGCTTCCTGGCCAATCGGGATGCTGGGCGGCATGTCATTACCCGCCACCTGGCTTCCTGATTGCCGGCTCCATGCCAGTGGAAGCATCGGTATCGGTACTCAGTATCTGCGAGTACCGACGGCAAAATATCGGTACTCGTACTCAATACCAAAAAAGCGGTATTTGTGCATCACTACATTTTAGGTGTCTTCATTAATGCGCCATTCAAATTTGGGAAGTTATTGAATGTGGAAATGTAAACAAAAATGTATGATAAGGTAATGAATTTGCATCATATTGCCTAAAACGGGGTGCCACATCCAGCCCGCTACAAGATTTTATTCAGCCCGCAGCAACCTTGGCTGGCTGGGGGAACTCTGACGGGCAATATTGTATATAAGGGGGGACTGTAATGGGCACTCCTGGATGTAATGGGGGGGTACTCTTAAGGGCACTGCTGGATAAAAGGGGGGACTGTAATGGGCACTCCAGGATGTAATAGGCGGATACTCTGATGGGCACTCCTGGATATAAGGGGAGATGGAAATGGGCACTCCTGGATTTAAGAGGGGGACTCTGATGTGCATTCCTGGATGTAAGGGGAGATGGTAATGGGCACTCCTGGATGTAAGGGCGGGGACTCTGATGGGCACTCCTGGAGGAAGGGGAGATGGTAATGGGCACTCCTGGATGTAAGGGCGGGGACTCTGATGGGCACTCCTGGAGGAAGGGGAGATGGTAATGGGCACTCCTGGATGTAAGGGCGGGGACTCTGATGGGCACTCCTGGAGGAAGGGGAGATGGTAATGGGCACTCCTGGATGTAAGGGCGGGGACTCTGATGGGCACTCCTGGAGGAAGGGGAGATGGTAATGGGCACTCCTGGATGTAAGGGCGGGGACTCTGATGGGCACTCCTGGAGGAAGGGGAGATGGTAATGGGCACTCCTGGATGTAAGGGCGGGGACTCTGATGGGCACTCCTGGAGGAAGGGGAGATGGTAATGGGCACTCCTGGATGTAAGGGCGGGGACTCTGATGGGCACTCCTGGAGGAAGGGGAGATGGTAATGGGCACTCCTGGATGTAAGGGCGGGGACTCTGATGGGCACTCCTGGAGGAAGGGGAGATGGTAATGGGCACTCCTGGATGTAAGGGCGGGGACTCTGATGGGCACTCCTGGAGGAAGGGGAGATGGTAATGGGCACTCCTGGATGTAAGGGCGGGGACTCTGATGGGCACTCCTGGAGGAAGGGGAGATGGTAATGGGCACTCCTGGATGTAAGGGCGGGGACTCTGATGGGCACTCCTGGAGGAAGGGGAGATGGTAATGGGCACTCCTGGATGTAAGGGCGGGGACTCTGATGGGCACTCCTGGAGGAAGGGGAGATGGTAATGGGCACTCCTGGATGTAAGGGCGGGGACTCTGATGGGCACTCCTGGAGGAAGGGGAGATGGTAATGGGCACTCCTGGATGTAAGGGCGGGGACTCTGATGGGCACTCCTGGAGGAAGGGGAGATGGTAATGGGCACTCCTGGATGTAAGGGCGGGGACTCTGATGGGCACTCCTGGAGGAAGGGGAGATGGTAATGGGCACTCCTGGATGTAAGGGCGGGGACTCTGATGGGCACTCCTGGATGTAAGGGCAGGGACTCTGATGGGCACTCCTGGATGTAAGGGGG